TGTCCATTTACACTTCGTATTGAACTCGGGGAAGTGTTCTTGTAAAAAAAAATACTGTGTTTAATAAGAAGACTTTTAGATGGTGATAGGAGGTGTGCAAACCAAAATGTGTTTAAAATTGTTCTCTATATATGTAATTTCAAGGTCGATTTAAAATCATTTTGTTTTAGGCAATGTTTGTTTGTTTTTGTTTTGTTTTGTTTTAAATTAAGCTCACTTAAAATCGTTTAACTTTAACAGTGCCAACACTGCTTCCTTCTTTATCATTCCCTCGGCTTTACCCTTTTCTCCATCTCCCCTTGTTCCTTCCTTCCTTCTTTTCTTCCTCTTATTCTTCGCTCTCTCTCTCTCTCTCTCTTCTTTCTTCTTTCTTTCTTTCTTTCTTTCTCTCTCTCTCTCTCTCTCCGACTCCCCTTCCTTCATCTTTCCATTTTCTTCTCTATTCTTTCCCTCTTTATCATTTCCTTCGGCTTCTCATTCTATTCTCAACTCTCCTTCTCTCGTTCTTCACTCCCACCTTTTTTCATCTTCACTTTCTTCCACCTCCTCCCCTTTTGTCCTGTTTTCCTTCTTATCCAACTTTCCGTTCTGCCCCTTTCTTCTTGTTCTTATTCTCCTCCTACTCTTTCTTCTCCCTTTCACGTTTCCCTTGCAAGCGATCCCGAGCTGCTGCTTCTCCTTTTCCACCCTTTTCCCCCATCCACTTTCCATTTCTTCCTTTCTCCCTTTTACTTCCCCTTTTCTTTCCTTCTCTCCCCCCTCTTCCCTTCTCTTCCCCCCACTCTTCCCTTCTTCTCTTCCCCACTCTTCCCTTCTTCTTCTCCCCCCACCTCTTCCCTTCTTCTCTCCTCTCCCCTCCTCTTCCTCTACCTCTCTTCCCCCCTTCCTCCCTCTTCTTCCTTCACTCCTCCCACCTCCCCACCAGCAGGTCCCCCTCGCCAGCGATCCATACCGGTCCTAGCCGCCCGAGCCGAGAACGGTGACCAGTGGTTCTTAAAAAAGGCTTCTTCTACGGCGACAGGTGAAATATTAAGATGCCTCTGGTTGTCTTTCAGAGGAGTAGATTGCGAAGGCGGAACGGGGGGGGGAGTAGGAAGAGAGCGGAGTGGGTGGTGGGGGAGGAGAGGAGAGTGGGAGGATGGGGGAGGAGAGGGGAGTGGGAGGAGAGGGAGGAGGAGAGCGGAGGGGAGGGGAAAGGGGAGGTGTTGGGATTGTGTTGACTGATGGTGAAAGGGGTGATGGTGGTGAAGGGTAGTGGTGTTTAAGGAGGAGGAGGAGGAGGAGGAGGAGGAAGGAGGAGAGGAAGAGGAAGAGGAAGAGGAAGAGGAAGAGGAAGAGGAAGAGGAAGAGGAAAGGAAGAGGAAGAAGAAGAAGAAGAAGAAGAAGAAGAAGAAGAAAGAAGAAGAAGAGAAGAAGAGAAGAAAAGGAAGCGGGCGAACAGGGCGAAAGGAAGAGGAACACCAAATCGAGGAAGGCGAGCGAAAACCAGCAGGAGCGGCGCCCGCGAGAGAGTGACGGGTGACAGCGCCTTGGCACTCGCACCGCCCGTGACATACGGCCCCGAGTGACCAACGCGCGGCAGCAGTGGCACAAACGGCCTCGAACTGGACCTGGGACCTGGCACCTGGCACCTGGCACTCGCTACAGCTCGCCGTCTGGCCGCAGCGTTATCACCGCCACCGCCGCCACCGCCGCCGCCACCGCCGCCCCACGCACTTGCGGATGGCACTCCTGGCTCTCTCCCACACATGGCACCGCTTATTTCCGAGTGCCACCGCGGCCTCATCAAATTCTCATGACCCCCCCCCCCTCCCGCTCGTATACACAGACTGGAGAATGAATCAGACAGTCAGGACTCGCATGTGGACCAACACGCATACGCACGCACGAAATTTCAGTATGTCTGCTGCAGAGAATGAATATGAACGAAAATGAGGGTGAGAGTGAAAGGCAAAAAGTGAGAGTGAAGGAGTGAGAGAGAGTGAGAGTTGAGTGATTATCTTGCTATCTCTCCTTCCTCCCTACACCTTCCCTTTCCCTCCTTCCCTTCCCTTCTGTTCCTTCCTCCCTTCCTTTCCTTTTCCCTTCCTCCCCTGTCCTTTCCTTTTCCCTTCCTCCCCTTCCCTTTCCTTTTCCTTCCTCCTTCCTTTCCTTTTCCCTTTCCCCTTCCTCCCCTTCGTTCTCTTCCTCCCCTTCCCTTTCCCCTTCCGTTCCCTTCCCTCCTCTTCCCCTTCCTCCCTTCCCCTTCTGTTTCCCTTCCTCCCCTTCCCTCCCCTTCCTCTCCTCTCCCCCCCACCTCCCCCTATCTAAAAACGAAAGACCATTCCGCGCCGCCGACCCCGCATCAAGAGATAAGGTCAAATCCGTCCCGCCGACCTCGCAGGCCGGACCGACCACCTCCGCCGCCGCCTGCTCCCCGTGGGGATGAATGCCTCAGCGAATATTCAGTGGCGACAGATCCTCTCCTTCCACATACCACATACTACTCCACGCCCCCTTC